ATTATTTTTAATAAAACATTTTATGAAACTCCTGACTTTTATCAATTTTTTAACTATATATTTTATAAGTTTTATTAAAATTTATTAAAAATATGATATTTAGCAATTCCAAATAGCGAATATATCAATATATCGAATATAGATCCCATGTTTGGTAGATTGTAATACAAATCAAAATCAATAATTAATTTTATGATCATTATTTTTCAATCATATTTTATTAAAATTTACTAAAAATTTAAGCTACGAATAGTCAATGCCAGAATATGACAATTTTAAATAATTGAAAAGGGTTAATTTTTATCCTTGAATAAAGGATTTTTTGATAAAGATTATGTACCATGCTGGTTATTTAACTTGGATTAAAGAATTGTTTTGACAATTCTTACAAATTTAAAATGATGTTAAAAACATGGTCGCCGGCCGGTCACTCAATTTACATAGAATTCATTTTGGACAATTCCATTTGTACATAAATGGATGACAACGGAGGGTGACAATCTCTCACATACATGCAAGCCCCATGTGATTAAAAAATTCCGGAAAAAAAGTGGGTCTCCCCTATTATGAGTATTCGATCATCCACATTGTCATCAATTTCGGTACATGTAGCATGATTGACTTTTTAAAGAGTAATCTTGTGAAAAGTAATTTTTTTTGAGAATGTATTGTGAAAATTTTGAAGAAAAAAAGTTATGAATTTATAAATAAAATTATTTTATTAGAAAATTGTATGATTTAAAATGAGTTTGGGAAAAAAATATTTGAAAAAAGTCACTTCAATTCAAACAAGGGCTACATTTCATTATGGTTGTACTTGCGGGTTTTTCAATAGACAAATCCAAGAGCTTGTTTTGCAGAGATTTTAAGAAAGAATAAATTGTGAGTTCTATGGAAGGTGTTAATAGTAAGTGTATAGTAATTGTGTATCCTGTGAAATATGGAGATAAAAATTGTCACTCGCAATTTTAAATAATAATTTAGTGCTTTTTTTAGAGGAATTTTTGGGGGAAGAATTGATTTTGAATAGTGATATAATGGGAAATATGTGGTTAAAAAAGAAAAAATTATTGACGTGATGAAAAATATTATTTTATTGAATAAGGTGTGATTGAAAATGAGAATTGATTTCCTATAGAATTTTGTGAATCCCTTCCAAACAGGACCTTAAGCTTTAAGCCTCCTTTTTATCCACATTTTTTTCACCAATAATGCATTTTTCTGTCACATCACGTGGGCCCCGCTACAGTAATTGTTGTCTTTTGGCCTAAGAAAAGTTATGTGTAATTACATCTTTGCCCTTCTCCATTCTTTTCAAATTGGAAACTGCTCGACATTTTACTTGAATTGGAAAACGTGTAAATGGAGGGGTAGAATGGAGATCTGTGTGGTTGCATTGTCACATGGAGGCTCAGTTTTTTGTCAGAGAATTCACTGTGTCAACGTTCATTTTTTTTCTATAAATGAGGTAAAATGTGCCCCAAATAGGGGCTAAATTTGCACTAGTTGAATGAGGATTTTTTCAAAGTGACTGCGACCTCCTTTGGGAGTTTGTTTATTTTATCGGGATCCTTAGGAAGAGTTTTGTCTCGTGTCCCTAACCATTCTCCGTCTATCCACCTCACTCTTATCTCTTCCTCATTGTCTTGAACTACCTTGGGAGGTTTATGAGTAGCGGTAAGATCGTGGTGTGTAGCAACCGTCTCTAGAATAATTATGTCATCATTCAGGCTACATCCACTGACCGCAGTGTCCCAAAAATCATCCACATTGCGGTCCACTTTTCGTATGTTTCGTATTCAATCTCGAGGATATTCTTCATCACTAAAGTTATGCAAGAGGAGAAACTATGGTATTTGTTCGGTTAAACTAGCTGTATCACTTACACATTAGAAAATAATCTTTACCGGTGAAACCGAAATATTTGAATGATTGGGAAATAGGAATCTCAAAT